AAATTTATTATGGTTTATAATGGCAAATGATACTTTGAATATTACATGTTAATAACTTGATTGGAATTATAACCTTGAATTGACAGTTTGATACTTTGAAAATTTTGAGCCAGCCCTACCCCCAAGGGCTGTAGGGTGGGGCTCAAAGGAGTCAGTGTGCTAAAATTTCTTCATTTTCCTTGTTAAGAATCAGGGTGCTAGTTTCCACATTTTGTACATCTCAACAATGAAATTGAGCTACTTGTACGTACCTATAATATAACTCAGGTGACCGCTAAGGACCTTGGGCCCCTTGTTTTTGTTACAGATTTGAGTGCAAATTAACTACTTATAACTGACGGTAAAAGGTTGATGATGATGTCATGGCGTACTTGTTCCTGTTTCGACCTAAACATGACGAACAGGAAAATCAACAACTTCATGTTTAGGTCACCTGACCTTTGCTCAAGTGACCTATTCTAATCTCTTTCCGTCAGCTTTCATGTGTCATGTGTAAACGTTTTACATTTTTGGCTTTTTCTCAAGAACCATCAATGGGTTTCCACAAAACACGGTAGGGACCATCGATCCTTTGTGGAAAAAGGTATCAAAATGTAAAATTGGAATGCCTGCCCCAACCCCAGGGGCCAAGGTTTGGCCCCAAAAATTTACCAATATTTCAAAAATCTTCTCTATTCTCAGATGTACTACAATCTAATTCTGTACATGGATGGAAAGATAATCAGGGTTTTGTATGACTTGTAAATTTCAGTACCCCCGGGCTATCCGTTCTCCCTTGGGGAGGGGGTAAAGTTTACTATAGCTTATGTAGGGAAATAGCACTTGTAACAAGTTATATTTTGTCCACTTTCAGCAGGACTTTATTCAAACTTTGTCAGAATCATCTTTGGTGGAAGATGGTATTGCATTGTTAAATAGGGATTCTTGTCCCATCGCGAGGGGCTAGGGCTGGTCCGCAAAGGGAATATTTTAAAAGTCTTCTTCTCCAGATTCAAAAGTACTACAATTAAATTCTGTGCGTGAATGAATTGTTCATCAGAGGCTTTATTTATTTTTCAATTTCATTACCCCTTGGTCATCCCTTCTAACTTGGGGAGGGGGTAAAGTTTACTTTAGTTTATAGAAGGAAATAACGCTTTCTGATTTATTTTTTTTATCCATTTTCGACAGGAAATGATTAAAACTTGGTTATTTAGATCAGACCTCAGTTTAGTAGATTGACTGAGTTAGATTGACTATAAGTGTGATTCGACCAAATAATACAGTAAAGTGGCCTCATCGACTGTTCGTTCGACTGGCCAAACATTTGTACATAACAGCCCTATTGACCACTTAGCGTCCATTCTGGCCATGTTTGTCCCAGCCTTATCGGTCGTCCTGCGTTCGTACAGCATCTGACAAGCGGGCAATCAGCGTTCGGTCACAAAAAGTGGATACTTGGCTGTAATTATAATTGCCAATATTTTCATGTTAACTAAACCTGTATAAAGAGACCACTATAAAAACTTCCAATACCACTATTTTAATGTTAACTTAAAAATGGTTGAGATCCCCACCATATAACCATATATACAATTGCTGAGTATAATGAGTCAAAATGGTTGAGATCCCCACCCCAAAACTAAATATACAATTGCTGGGCATAAAGATGGGTACACAATCAGGATATTAGCATTGACCCCTGGGTGTGGCCACACCCCAAGGGACCTAGTTTCTGAGTCACAACTTGGATACAGTTGAGATCCCCAGCGTATTACCATGTATACAATTGCTGAGTATAATGAGATGAATGCACATGACCCCGGGGTCTTCCCCACCCTGGAGACTTAACCCCTGGGTCATAACTTTGAAACGGTTGGGTTGAGATCTCACCCCCAAAACTTTATATACAAATGCTGGGCATAAAGAGACAATTGCAGTCATGATATTTGAATTGATCCAGGGGTCTGCCTCACCCTTGCAGACTTAACCCCTGGGTCATAACTTTGAAACGGTTGGGTTGAGATCTCACCCCCAAAACTTTATATACAAATGCTGGGCATAAAGAGACAATTGCAGTCATGATATTAGAATTGACCCCAGGGTCTGCCTCACCCTTGCAGACTTAACCCCTGGGTAATAACTTTGAAACAGTTAAGATCCCCACCACAAAACTATATATACAAATGCTTAGCTGATGTCTGTTCTACACAGGTTTCCAGTTTGTTTAGGGTTTTTATTGGACAGGGTTTTACTCTAGATGTTTTTATTATCAACTATTTGACATTAATTCATTTTAGGAAGAATCTGAAGCTAAAGTCAAGCATGAGAAAGCTGTGAAGTTTTGTATGTCAAGCCTGCGGACAAAAGCCTCTAAAAGACAGCAAGCCTTGAAAGCTAGTAAGTTTGATCTAAAGAAAGTATGTAGGGGGAAAAGACAGGGATGGAAGGGGGGGAGGGNGCACAGTATAAATAATGTATGATTTTATTTCTTTTAACAGATAAATCAAAAGATCAGGAATTTTATCGTACATTCCGTGCAAACATCACACCTACAGACAACCAATCTGCAGAAGAGGAATTGCAACGGGAAATCACGTAAGATTAAGTAAAATTGACTAAGTTTCAATTTCAAACAATTGAATCAAAATATTTGTCCGTATTATGCTTAACAGGGTGTGAAACAGTGAAGCATCAAACCCATGTCCTGGCAAATCTGGGACATTGCCCCCTGCCTGTCAAACCAGTGTTTTACCTGGCCAATCTGGGACATTGCCCCCTGGCTGTCAAACCAGTGTTATACCTGGCCAATTTGGGACATTGCCCCCTGGCTGTCAAACCAGTGTTTTACCTGGCCAATCTGGGACATTGTCCCCTGGCTGTCAAACCAGTGTTTTACCTGATCAATCTGGGACATTGCACCCTGGCTGTCAAACCAGTGTTTTACCTGGCCCATCTGGGACATTGCCCCCTGGCTGTCAAACGAGTGTTTTACCTGGCCAATCTGGGACATTGCCCCCTGGCTGTCAAACCCGTGTTTTACCTGGCCAATCTGGGGCATTGCCCCCTGGCTGTCAAACCAGTGTTTTACCTGGCCAATCTGGGACATTGCCACCTGGCTGTCAAACCCGTGTTTTACCTTGCCAATCTTGGACATGCTCCCTGCCTGTCAAACCAGTGTATTACCTGGCCAATCTGGGACTTTGCCACCTGGTTTGTAGACCTCCTCATGACCTGTACCAGGTTGACTGGTGGTAAAGGTATGGTTTGTAGACCTCCGCACGACCTGTACCAGGTTGACTGGTGGTAAGGGTATGGTTTGTAGATCTCCTCACGACC